TCTGTTGCTATGGATACGTGGAAAGCAACAGGTTCAGTGTGCTTTGTGTGATGGAAGGAGCTTGACTTCTTCGCCGTGTTCGTCTAATAGTGCCTCTAATCAAGGTTAAATTCTTTGAGAAATGCCCAGAATGTCAGCAAACCATTACGGCCGATTAACCTTTAGTTGTGGATGTCATCATATGTGGGAAAAATAAATCTAGATACGCTGTGACAGTAGTGTAGATATTTCATGGTGCATCCCTGTTATACGTATAACAAGGATATGTTGCCGTTGAAATTGAGCTCTGTCTCCAATTACAGCTCTTTTCCATGTTTTTTGCAAGGGCATGGACTTTATCAGAGATGCAAAAAAATGATACAAGCAGAAGTGTGCTAGGTTCATAACCTAGAGCAGGGATTCCCCGCGAGATGATTTCCAGGGTGTAAAAATTCCACTATAACTGCAACCGGTCAGTTGCGATCCTCCCCCCGTTTGGTGAAAGCTACTGACGGGGCCTCCCTAGGAACAATTGGGGTCGTGACTTTTTGGCATGGTTGTTTTGGGGGCTGTGGGCTCAGTGGTTTGGGGACCCATAATCCTAGCCCATCCTCCAGGATCCATAAAACTGATCTTGCCTTAAGTGGTACACTGCTTGGGTGGCTGTTCTCACTGCTGTGTTCTGAATACACTAAGTGCCGCATTGTTTCTTGTGACGACCTTGCTGAGCCACATCACTTCCTGTCTGCCCCCCCCCCCCCCCCTCCACATGTTGTCTATCCACAACATGCCTGGTGACGGCCCCCAAGGGCATCGACCCCCTCAGGCATTCTCACTGTACGAGGACGAGATCAGCGACTCGAAGGCCCAGCTGGCCGCCATCACGCTGATCGTGGGCACGTTTGAGCGGACTCGCTGTTTCAGTGAGGAGAATCACGAGCCCCTGCGGACGCAGTGCGCACTGGCCGCCTCCAAGCTGCTGAAGAAGCCCGACCAGTGCCGGGCTGTCAGCACCTGTGCGCACCTCTTCTGGTCCGGCCGCAACACCGACAAGAACGGCGAGGAGGTGCGTTGGCCGCTCATGTCTCCAGCAATGCCGCTACAGCCGTCACGCCTATTTTGTCTGACTCCCCTCATTATGTGTACACGTTGGTAGGGCCCAGTCTGACTCCCCTCATTATGTGTACACGTTGGTAGGGCCCAGTCTGACTCCCCTCATTATGTGTACACGTTGGTAGGGCCCAGTCTGACTCCCCTCATTATGTGTACACGTTGGTAGGGCCCAGTCTGCCTCCTTTTTTGGTAGTCATGCTTGCTTGTTGTTAGGGAAATCCTGTATCTTGTGTATTTGCATTATTTCCCCCCATCTACATTAATGTACCCATTTTCTGACTGTAATTTGTTCCAAGAAACAACTTGAATTGAACTCCAATATCAAGACGCTGTTTCCATAATTTCTAACGGGAAAAATGATTTACTCCACGTTCATCTAAGAAATCCCATTTCAACATGATAAAAACCACTTTAAACACCAACAGCCCATTTACCAACTAATTTAATAATTATTTGTTCTCAATAATAAATATGGATTAATGTGTTTGCAGTACCATACACACTGTTAGCGACAGACATTGAACAAAAAAAGCAAAGAATGTAAAGAATATCAGATAGAACACACATAGCCTCCAAATGTAGAGTATGGACTTCACTTCGGGGAGAAGCACCTCCTGAAGTGCCCCCGTCTGTTTGCTGTGTCCTCAGATCCGGGACGGGAAGAGGGTGATGGAGTGTCTGAAGAAGGCGCTGAAGATCGCCAACCAGTGCATGGATCCTTCTCTGCAAGTGCAGCTCTTCATAGAGATACTGAACAGATACTTATACTTTTACGGGAAGGAGAATGAAGCGGTACGCCCCCCCCCCCGCTGCCCTTGTACAAAGGCTCTCTTTGGCTCTCTGGTCTTTTTTTGCTATTTTATTTCAAGGCTGATCAGTGGTCTGGGAAACGCCGCAGTGTCTCTGTAAGAGCAGGTAGCAGGGGTGACGGTGTTGGGTAATAATGGGGAAACCGTGAGTCTCTGCTCTCGGCTTTTGAGCTCGGCTTTTGCGCCCCCCCCCCCGGGAATATCCGGCAGCTGAGGAGGAAGCGAAAGCTGCAAAGATGGGCGTCAGTAATGGGAGACATAAGCCGGAGCTCGCAGAGTGTTGGCACTGACTGTGTGCAGGTTATTCACAGTTTGCAGAGTGGGGGGGCGGGTTGCACAGCCCCCACACATCCTCGGCTGCGTCTTCTGACATTTATCCCTACGGCTGGGTTATTTTAGATCTGCCTGGACTGAGTCTGCGCTCCCGGGCTGAGACGGGGCTCACGCTTCACTCTCAGCTTGTTAATTCCTCACCACGGTCACATGACCCATACAGTACTCTACTGTAACTGCTGGGGGATTGTTTTGCCATGCAGTTTGTGGGCACATGAAGATCTTAAAAAAATATACACCATTTATGCACATATTAATGTTTATATATTTTATGCACATATTAAAATTATAGCGGTGTTGGATTACCGTTTTATTTTACCTATGCTTGACATAAGATGCCGTAAAAATAATTATTACTTCTGGCAGATGTGACTGGCTGGTATACAGATGCTCCTTTGCTTTATGATGATTCTGTTTATGATGCATCAGATTTACGACGGTGCAGTAGCAGTGCACCCTCAGTAGTCAGCTTAGATGTTTGATCTGTTCCCCGGCTGGCGGTGTACCATACGATACTTTGCCAGTGTTGGGCGAGAGAAGCATCCACACAGCTACGCTTCCTGGGCGATAGAAGCATCCACACAGCTACGCTTCCTGGGCGAGAGAAGCATCCACACAGCTACGCTTCCTGGGCGATAGAAGCATCCACACAGCTACGCTTCCTGGGCGATAGAAGCATCCACACAGCTACGCTTCCTGCCTCTGTAGTGATTCTGAGTGTAAACATCTCATACAGTGTTAAATAGTACAGTGTTCTTTTTCCTGTGTTTAACCAAATGAACTTGCATTCATCTACTTACTTTTTAATTACTGGTATTTAGTTAACGTAATTACTTATTCAGTGACGGTAGTTATTTACTTATCATATTCGTACTGGACATTTTACACTTATTGGTTCATCGGAACGTAACTCCATGTATACTAGATTCTGAATAAATACAGAATAACTGAATGTTCTAAAGGATTCAAGGTCAATCGCATGCATTATGAACGCGGACCTAAATGTGTGCATTCATGAATGATCGTGTAGGCCTTAGAGATGTTATGAGTTGAGGCAGTTGTAGCGTCATGAAGGACGGAACTTTAGATATTAAGCTGTATCTCCCTCAGCTGTCTTTGGGAGCGTAATAAAATACTTGGTGTTTCCCCCCAGGTAACCATCCAGGTCCTGAACCAGCTCATTCAGAAAATCCGAGAAGAGCTCCCAAACCTAGAGTCGAGTGAGGAGACAGAGCAGATTAACAAGCATTTCCACAACACCCTGGAACACCTGCGGCTACGGAGGGAGTCCCCAGAGGCCGACGGTCCCGTTTACGAGGGCTTGGTCCTGTAGGGGGCGCCACTGAACGCCCTCTCCCTAAATCATCCATCCAGTGTTGAACGCAGGCCCCTTCTAACCCTTTTGCTCCTCTTTCCTCTTTTTCTGCTCTCCATTCATCCTGTCACGTTCACCTATGACCCCTTTCTGAAGAATGATTTATTTCCCTTTTCTGCAGCGAGTTTCTCTGACCTATCGAGCTTTTGCGCGGCTAATGCCAAACTCCCTCTGTGTAGCACTTTGTTTTTCTGAAATCATTCCTTCGGCAAACCTGAAAATACAAATAAGGGGGAGCCGATGCCCCACGTTGAGGCCGGCGTGACGCACTCTTCCTCTCGGCCGCTCTGCTGGCCATTCTCCTTAGCAGGTCTGTGCCTCTCAGCCTAATTCGGATGTGCCATTATCAGTCTGGTGGCATGCTTTCCCGTTTCTTATGGTTGGCAGGGCAGCCATGTTTGTGTCCTGGCACCCTATGAGATATTCTATGAACTTGCTCCCGTGTCATTCTGCGTGCGCTGAATTGTTGAAGATCTATGGAAACGCGAGTGCATACAAACCATATCTGTCATGTTATGACAAGTGCATCTGTTTGGATGGCGGCTCCTCTGCCGTGTGATTTCTGGCTATTGGATGCAATTTGGTGGAGGAATTCCCTATTTACTGTTTGTATCTGTAGAAATTTGTTGCTGTGAGTGTGTGCGTGTGACTGTGTGCGTGTGACTGTGTGCGTGTGACTGTGTGCGTGTGACTGTGTGCGTGTGTGGGCACATGGATGCTTAAAGTGACCGCTGTTAATAACTTGAGCTGCATTTTATCCCGTTGGGACTTGAGAGAATACAAAACAGCTACTGTAGATCTTAATTCATGAAAAGACATTTAATTCCAGATCTGTCTGGGCAGGGGATGAAGGGGGCTTTTGTTAATTTCCTTTTGTTTGGGGTTTTCCATCTATATTGTCTGCATAACCTAAATGTAATTCAGTGAGAACAAATACGGCAAGAATCACATCATTTGCACAAATAAACAATAAATTGCGATTAACCATACTTTACCTGTAAGATACTGGCTTTTCTCTGCTTAGAGTAATGCAATTTTTAATTAGACTGACAATTTCCTTGTTTAATCTGTCTGTTTCTCATCGCAGCTGGAATTTTGTATTTGAAAGGAGAGCCTTTGAATTTTCTAGCTCAAAGCTGCAGTCACTGAATTCCTGGTCGCCGCTTCGTTCGTGGTTTTCCTGTGAATTCCGGCACACCCTCGTCGTTGAGGTAGCAGCAATGTGACAGGCAGGGTAATTGGTGAAGTACCAAGTAAGGAATTAAAACTTATTTCCTTTTAAATGAACGAAACACAGAATGTCACTCATCCCGAGACTTGATCGGAGCCGCCATTACAGTGTCCGTTTCCTATTTCTGATCCACTTGTTTTACTCTTCGCTTGGAAAATAAAACCAAGTAGTGACCGTGGTGCTTGTAGTAACTTGATGGATATACTTTGGTTTATATCCAGCTACGTTTTGTGTAGTAGTATTGTCGGGGACTTGCTGAATTGCTATTTGCAATTTCCAGAAAACTGGAAGTGAATAGTTTCTCTACAGGTGAATTACCCTTCCATTGACCTTGGATCATAAACTGTAGATCAATGGCTAGTCAACACAGGCTATGACAAATATTCTCCATGGGATATCCTAAGCTTTGTTTCTGTAATAAAAAAAAATACCACGTCCATTGTTATTAAAAACCCATTTAATGAATTAATAAATATTTTTAGCCTTGCAAGTCTTAATATTTTTACTGCATAACTTAATATTCCAAGGCTGCTACTATATACTGCGTAACAGATTCTTTATATCATAAGACAGCAGCATATAGATCGTGATAAATATTAGGATGAGTAAGATCTGTTTCTGATGGGGAAACAAAATAGGTCTATTCAGCTGCTAGACAGGAGATTTATGCATACTGTGTTAAATCAGTCTGGTAACTATTTCTACCTGCTGCTGTGGTGTATGCAGGAATATCAAATTCACATAGGAACCAAAATTTGATTCAGTCATTTATTACAAGAATATTTCATTTTACCACGCTGCCACGACCTAGATCAACATGACTGAAGAACACTGTTCCTCTGACTCCGTCACATACATTTATACAGTGTGTCAGGCTGTGAGTCACTTTGCCGATTTGCATTCAGCGTGTCCATGCATGAAATCCGTCATTAATCTGTAGAACCAAGGGCTCACCTGACACCATGTTGCAGAAGAGACAAGAATAATCACATGACTAGGCCTTAGCATTTCTGCTCCATATATTGGGGTTGAATCTTGATCTTGGCGGGGCACAGCAGTTTGTTGAAAGCCCTTCGGAAATTCGTGTGGCATAGAGGGTAGAGGACTGGGTTAATGGAGGAGTTGATCCACAGTAGCCAGAAGGAGGTTTCGTACAAGTAGTGCTGCACACACTGGCCGTGGCACGCGGCCCGAATGATCATCAGCAGTGTGTACGGCGCCCAGCAGAGGCCGAAGACGCACACGATCACCGCCAGCGACTTGGCTACTTTTTTGTCTCGGGACAGGCGGAAGCGGCTGGCCAAGCAGCTGTCTGAGGCGGTGGCGGGGGGGCGGCCGTTTCTAGTCGAGCCATAGGGCAGATCTCCGGGTCCGTACCCCCCCTCTCCTGCCCTCTGGGCCAGGTCCTCCACCTGCAGCGGGGGCAGGTCCAGAAGCCCACTGTCCACTACCACTGAGCCCCTGGCGCCGAGGAACTTGCGGCCCCCAGTCCTCCCGTCGGCCTTGGCGCTCTCGGCGCTGCCGGGGGCCGGCGCGGGCCTCACGAAGAACACCTGGCGCTCCTCGGCGCCGGACCGGCCGCGCAGCTCCATCTCGCAGTCCCGGGCCCCCACACTGGCGGGCCGCTCCGCCCGCATCAGGTTTCGCTTCCTGATGTTGATGTAGATGCTGAGGTTGAAGTAGGTGACGCTGATGAAGGGAGTGAAAAACTCCACCGTGGACGCAGTCATTAGGAAGTACCAGTTGAAGTAGAACTCTGCATAGCACTCTTTGGCGGGAACCCCACTACCGCCGGCTATGTACTCCCAGCTGACGATGGCTGGGCCATAGAGCAGGAACGCGGCCAGCCACACGCTCACCATCTTCAGCACCGCCTGCCGTGTGACGCCCTTCTGACACCTGTAGTTCACCTGCCAGGGAGAACAGGCATTTATATAAACTACGTTTTAATTACCTGGAATGCTGGATTCCATTACAAGAATTCTCAGTACTTCTTGTTTTTTATTTGTTTGTTTGTTTCTTTATAAAAGCCGTTGTCTTACCGCTCTAGTAACAGAGATGAACCTGTCGAAGCTGATGAGCACGATGTTAAACACGGACGCCGTGCAAAGCGTGTAATCCACCACCAGCCACAGTTTGCAAAGACCGCGTCCGAGTCTCCATTCTCCGGTTAGGACGTACGGTATATAAACGGGGATGCAAAACCCTCCTAATGACATGGAATAAAAATGAACGTATTTATCTTAATTGCCATTTCAGATTTACTTCTGTGTATGTGGCATGCTTTGAAAAGCGTTTGTTTGAGGGAAAAATACGTAAATTTTTGATAACACAAAGCACTCGTATAATGCATTATCGATACCTTCATGATGCGTTATAACGCATTCATAAAGTATTATAAACACGGCTATAAATATAAAAAGGCATAGCACATCACAGGCATGTTTATTATGCAGTATGTATGCACCACAGATAGCTACAAAATACATTATAATGGTCCAGTATAAGTCATCATAATACATTATACATGAGTGCTTTAAGTAAAGTGTTACCATTTTTTTTTTTATCTGAATTTCTCCCTTTCATAGTCAGCCATAATAAAACAGAATGGCACTGAATGGCCAAACAGCACTTACCCACTAGGAAGTCGGCAATGGCTAAATTCAAAAAGAAAAAGTTTCCTTGTGTGCGTAAACTTTTCTCTACAACAAATGCCAGAATGACAAGCGCATTGCCCAGGACGGTGGCAAGGACGAGCAGCGTCATGAGCACCGCCAGGAACACCGAGGTGGACGAGGAGAACTGGCCGTACTGCAGAGCCCGGCGGTTCTCCAGCTCCATAGGCGTCGCATTTCCCCGAGAAACGGCGGACCAGTTCATCGCCAGCAAGCCCTGCGACTCACTGCTCATCGGGAAGCGCGTCGAAGTTCCCAAACTCAGAGACGGCGCGGCGAATGCGGTTTGCATGGCTGCGGCGATCCATTAAAACGCACCTTCCATTCTGATCGTGCAAGGTTTGCTGCCTTATAGGATACGAGCCGGAAAGTAAAGGATGACCGACAGGGACGCGGGAGAACTGAACAAATGAATGAAACGCAGCATCTTTTATACGGCCAAAGGATACCCGCGTGTTTATTGGTTGGTCCTGGTGCTGAGACTCGAGTGGGTGAGGTTTTCAAGCAGCACCTTCTCTACGTACCATTTCACAGATTCAGTGTTTTACGAACAAACTATAGTTATTACATTTTTTCGAATATGTATTTGCATTAAAACATAAATTGACCAATGATTGTGATACATTTTGTATTATTTGCGTATTTATTTCTCTTTATTATATAATTTTCTTTGTGTTGACTATTGTGATTTGGCTGATACGTTATTATACCGTAGCAATAATTTGGGTTCATTTAGGTTAAAATGTGTTATTTTTGCGCTTGGTTATACGCAAGTTATCACATGCATGGGCTATTAGTTAAGAAGTAATTTACGTTACAGGACAGATCACGGACCCTTCAGCCTCACATCCAGGAGACGTTGTGGTACCAGGACTGTATAGGCTAGCTGGCTGCAGAACTTCGAGCGCGTTGAAATCCATTTCTGACGAGGAGATGTGTTAGTTTTTATCATGCATGCAATACCCATCCCTTAGCAGAAGTACAGCTGGCAGCGTGGAAAGGTCAGAACCATTAATGTCCAAAGCTTGATGCAGCTAAGAAAGGAACCTCTGTAGTTGTCAGCTGCCTAATCATGGATCGCCAGTGAAGACCGGTTAATTTTCTTTAGGTTGTATTTTGTAAAAGACATTCTGTTATGTTGAAACGAACAATGGAGAATGCAATTATTCATTCAGCGTGGCTGGCATTGAGGAATAACCCCCTCCTCTGTATTTATAGTCCTCATATTCGCAATTTTCTCTCCCGCATCAGTCTGACGGGCTGCCTTTAATTCTCCTGCATCACATTTCAGCTATCGGTGCCCAGATACCTCCGTCCCGACACTCAGCGTCCAACATCAAAGCGCATCGGACCTCAGGTTGTGGGAATATACAATTGCCGTTTTTTTCCCCTCGCAGGCAGAAGCTATTAATCGCTACATGGGACTCTGTGAGGCTTTATTCCATATTCGATGTACTGACAAAATTGCATTTAAAGGTATCAGTGGGAAGTTCTCGTCGATCCTGCATGTAATCGTTTCTCGCAATGTCACTTTGACTCCCTAGACGTGGAAATTATGAGACAAAGAGGTCCGAACCGAATTGCCACAGGTTGTATTTCATGATTGCAGGCATACTGCAGCCCTATAATGGATATTTCTTATAACGATTATAACGTTCCCTTTGGTGTTATCTGAAAGGACCGAGATTCACCACTTATTCACGTAGGAAAAAAATGCTATTTTTAGTTTAATGTAGGTTATATGGTGACTCAGGACGGATTTTTTGACCAGTCCAGGCTTCGTAAAAACAAACTTTATACAGCTACCTGGCCAAAATGCTTAATATTAATAGGCCTAACTGTAAAATTATTATTGCTGTAAATTGGAAATTCAAATAATATTGGAAACTTCGAAAAGAGTGTATATGTAAGCTGTATACGGTTATTCTAGGCATCGGGTAAATTGTCAGATTAAAATAAACCACAGGAATGCAACCAGAAGGGGATTTTGCAGTTTTTAAATGCTCGAAATTAGAGTCAGAAAAAAGTCAGAAAACATTTCGTAAAGTATAAAAGAGTGGTATCTTTAAAAATACCATCATCACGGTCAACATGATTTATAAAAATCTTGGTTTTTAGCTTTGTAATACCAATGACTTGAATCAGCAATTCATTCTTAAATAATGATAGCAATTGCATGGTGCCAGACGAGGCCAAATGAACGCTTACTTAGTTCATTATCCTTTCATCCAACCCGAATTTGACGTGAGTGTTTTTATCTCATGTTTGGCGCAAAGAAAACAAACATAAACCGGCGAAAAAAATGTATCGGTGTAACGGACCTAGCTGGTGTATCGAGCTGCCAAAGAAGCGTCGTCTGGACCAATTACTCAGCACTGACTCTGTGCCCACAAGTTTTAGATCCACAGAACTGGTTATCCATCTGATTGTCAAATCCTACTTCCAAGACGTCCAGCTATGCCTGAAAACAGAGGAATACACCACATCATGGCAACGGCTAGAAAGAGGGATAATGACAGGGTGCACAATGGCGATGGAGGTCATTATCCGAGCCTCTCGGTGGGTGGTTGGGGGGCCTAAGCTCAAATCTGGTCGTCTTCTCCCTCCCATCAGAGCATATATGGATGACGTGACCGTACTCACCACAACCAATGCATGTGCTAAACGGCTATTAAACAAACTGCAAGAGAACATCCAGTGAACATCCAGTGGGCTCGAATGGAAATAAAGCAGAGCAAGTGCAGGAGCATCTCAGTCATTAAGGGAAAGCTGGTGGAACACCGGTTTTATGTCGATGAGTAGCCCATACCAACAGTGTCAGAGAAGCCAGTAAAGAGTCTTGGATGTTGGTATGATGCAACCCTCAAGGACACCGAACAAGTGGACCACCTTAGGCAGGAAACCATATGGGGACTGGAGCATATCAAGAAGACTACGCTCCCAGGCAGAATGAAGCTTTGGTGCCTTCAATTTGGGCTACTACCATGCCTCATGTGGCCTCTGACTATCTATGAGGTCCCAATCTCAAAGGTTGAGAAACTTGAGAGGGTGGTCAGCTCATTCGCCAAAAAATGGCTGGAGCTCCCAAGATGCTTCAGTAACATCGGGCTGTATGGAAGAGGCGTGCTTGAACTTCCTGTGTCCAGCATCGCAGAGGAGTTCAAGTGTTCCAAAGTGAGGGTGGAGATGACACTCACAGGATCCAGAGACCCCTGTGTAGCCCAAGCAGCTCCTACTCTTTCGACCCGAAAGAAGTGGACCCCAACTGCAGATATTCAGCAGGCAGAGTCAGACCTCAGATACAGAGATCAGATACATCATTGGCCTACAGGAGAGAGGAGGCCTCGGCCTTGGGGAGAGCAAACCATCCTGGCATAAGGCAACTCCAGCTCAGCACCGAGCTCTGGTCATTGAGGAGGTGCGTCGACAAGAGCAGGCAGCAAGATGTGCAAAGGGGGTCTCTCTATCTAGGCAAGGGCAGAGGATGAGATGGGAGGGAGTGGAGAGGAGAGGAGGAAATTCTCCTGGAGGGAGTTGATGGGCATGGAGGCATTTCACACCAGCTTCATTCTACGGCCCATATACCATACCCTGCCCTTCCCCTCTAACCTCAACCAATGGGACGGAGAAGACCCCACGTGCCCCCTCTGTCCATCCCCTGCAAACCTCAAGGTCGGCTGCAAAACAAGCCTGTCACAGGGTCAGCACACCTGCCGGCATAACCAAGTCCTGAAATGCCTGGCAGCTGCTCTGGAGACCAGGCGGATCAAGACCAATGCCATGCCTTCTCCATCATTCCATCATGCACCTACTAGAGCGTTCATCCAAGAAGGGGCAAAGCCAGCCGTAGTCCGTACAACATCAGACATTGGCCAGCTCGGAGGGGCACAAGACTGGACGTCGGTGGCTGATCTGAACCAAAGGCATTGCTTCCCATCTGAGATCGCCACAACAAACCTCAGACCAGATCTTGTGCTCTGGTCCTGGACACGCCGCTATGTGTACATCACAGAGCTCACTGTTCCCTGGGAGGATGCTGTGGGGGAGGCCTACGAACGCAAGAGCCTAAAGTACATGGAGCTAGCGGCAGATGCCGAACAGCGTGGTTGGGAGGCCAAGATTTGCCCAGTGGAAGTTGGCTACAGGGGCTTTGTGGGCAAGTGAACCATCAGGCGTTGCCGATGAGCCCTCTGGAGGTGTAGGGGCCCATCATCGAAACACCAGTGAAGGAGGGTGCCCACCTGATGACCCCAATGAAGCTTACACCCCCCCCCCATACTTTGACATCACTAAGAATGATATCTCACGTCACAAATCTCAGGCACTTAATTAAGGGATTGTTTCATCTACTCCTATAACAGAACTGACTCGACACCCTTATCTAGATGGATATCACACAGCTATTTATTATATATATAATTTATTATATATATAATATTATTTTATATTATATTAAGTTCTGTCTGTGGCTTGGAGGGAGGGATCAGAATCGCGCAAGGGGGATTAGCAAGTGCATGTCTATCTCTTATTAGCCTGTGTTTATACTTCATCTAAAACTAGAAACTCTTCCTCACGTTGATTATTTTGGATCTGATAATATTGATGCGAAGCTCAAGATATCTGGAACAGCATAAATAGTAAGTTGTACCATGTAAAATTATACATTCCTGTAGTGGATGGTGCTTCTAACTCATGATAGGACAACAAGTTCTTAATCAGAGCTGGGCCTGAGTGTTCAGGTGCCCTAGGCAACTGAAATATTAAAACTGGTGTAAATTGCTAATATCACGGATTGTTATCAGTGCTATTTCATTAGATTTTTTTTCACACGCTCTTTTGCCCCCACTGATTAAAGGCAATCGTTGATGCTGCCTAGGGGTGGGCCATCCCTGGTCTCAATGACAATGATGGCCTTTCAAGTCGAACAACGCTACAGCAGCCCTGCACTGTCTTTGTAGGTCTAACTGATTGCTGAAAAACAAACAGGAAGGCACATTAAACGCACCCCAAAATGGAAATGCGAAGCTGTCAACCACATTAGGTGTTTTTGTTTAATATTATAAACTCCTACTCATTCAACTTTTGTAGAGCCTCACTTCCATGCGGAGGTTTAGTGGGGCACTTTTGTAGTGCAGGTCAAAGCTCATGTAGCATTCAGGCAAGCCTCACTGCCGTCAACAACCCCCCCCCCCCCCCCCCATCTCTCCTTTTCTAGCATCCACCCCTGATTGCTGAAACGTTAAGCAGCTCTATACGTGTGTAGACACAAGCCTGGGCGAAGGCAATTCACACCCGAGGCTGGGATCACGGCCACTTTGAAGTTCAGATACTGCTCTTTTACAGTAGACTTCATTCATTCAGATCCAGGAACATAAACGTTCCTTTGCCGGATTGCTATCCCAAATGACGGGCTGTTGTCCCAACTTCTGTTGCCTCCACTTGGGATGCGAGGGCACACTCAGCCACATGTAGCCTGTTATGTCATCCCATGTGGTGAGAGAGAGAGTGAGTGAGAGAGAGAGAGAGAGAATCAGCTGAGCATTGCACAAGGAACAGACGGGCAAGAAGAAGAGTGCGGCGGGCCAGCTGCCGACGCCCACGGAACGTGTGCTCTTCACGGTAGGGACTGTCTTCAGAACTGGGCGCTGATCATGTAGCACTACGGGAGCACTATTCCAGTTCCTATCAGCCTCATCCCTCCTCGGGTCATTACAATCAGCCTTAAAACCCACAATCTCACGCTGCTTGGAGGATCCGTTACTATAAAAAGATGCTCTTTGTTAGCAGGCTATAATTTAAACAACCGCCAATCGCCTGATCATTCAGATTGTAATATCTTTTATTTTAATTTATTATACACGTCTTCCCTTAGCCTTAGTAATTACACCAGATGAGTCACAATAATCAAAATACTTGAGTGATTACAATCAAAATAACCATGTTCAATGTATCTGTCTCATACAACCATAGTTGCTATGAGTGACATCCAGTATGGTTGTATAAGAGCTGCTGCTTTAGTGCAGTTTGTGGCTTTAGTAAGTCAAATTCCAAGTCCCAAAATAGCCATGTGGAGGTTCGCAAACCTCAGCTGCAGAGCGGAGGGTCAGTGGGTGACACATAGCCTCACACCTCCAGGGATGGGGCAGCGGCGCTTTCACTGGGTGCCACCAGGGGGCAGTTAGAGTTTTAGGGGTGGAGTGCCCAGAGGTGGATAGTTCAGGTCCAGAAAGTAAAAATCCAGACCAACATTTTGTTTCAACCAACCAGTTGAGTATACAGAGTCACAGTCAAGGACTACAGAACTGGTTGGATGAAGCAAAATCTTGGTCTGGATTTTTACTCTCTGGACCTGAACTATCCACCTCTGGTCATGCCACCCCTGGGTTGGGTGTTCCCCCAGTACTGTGTCTATGTGTACTCTGTGATGGATTGGCATCTTGTCCAGGGCATCCAACATCCTGCCCTTTGCTTCTTCCTTGGGTTGGGCTTAGGGTCACCCTCATTCTTTACCGGATAATCAATTAAGAAGAATGTAGAAGTGGATTATTTATATTTTGTTTAGGTTATGGGTAACTATTATTTAAAACAAATTTTGATACTGAAAATTCATTGATAAATGAAACATGCATATATTCATGATAAAGACATTTATATTTTGTCATATTCATTCACACAAATGAATAAAGAGCATTTTCGAATCCAGACTGGAATAAATGCCTGTATAATAGGCTTGAAAATTAGTGCTCCAGAAGTCATCAAAATGCAATTTTAAATGTATTGTATTATTTAAATTGCTGTCATTCCCTATGACCAGAAGAAGCTTTAGTTCCTAGAACTATCTTCATACAGTACTAAACACAATAAAAAGTACATGACCTTAAAATAACGACATATTACACAGATCCAATACTACAACAAAGTTTAATGAATCTCTATGTAATCACTGTTCAGCGATTGCTTGCATGCAGAGATGGAAGAGTTTGGAAGGGTATTTTTTTTGTTCTGATTTATAAAGGATTTAAATTGTGTTATGAAATCTGTGCAGGGGAGCATTTTTGTAAGGCTTGTGGCAGTGGACATTACATTTATAATGTTTCTAACTGAAAGCTTTACGGTTGCTATGACTACAATACATAGTGCAAAAAAATATATCCATGGTTTGCAGACCACCCTCTAATTGGGTTGTCATCGCCATAACAGACTGGGAGAGTATTACTAATCTAAATGTCAACATGCATTAGCAAAGTTTTAAATCACAGAACACCTAGCTTGAAAGACAAAATGTCTGACGTGTCTTGACTCTAGCCAGACTGCCAATCAAACCATGGCAGACACTTGCTGCACACTCTCACAATCTCAGATCTGAACTGCAGATGGTGCAGTTTTCAGCAGAAAATGTGTGCAAAACTGCCATTTCTCACCTCTGGGGTTTTTTTTAACTCCCACTTACTGGTTTGATTACTGAGGTGGTGCAGAGAGAACGGCCTTTATATGTGTTTAAGTCAAGTAGGCTGAAAACCCACAATGATTCACAGCAAACACTTCACCTTGATCTACCGCTCTCAGTATAAACTGTAACCAGTGGTTAAAAACAGGCAGCATCTTATTCTAGCTTTCTGTGATCAACACACCCCAACTTTAGAGAGAATTGCCCCCGAGTCCAGTCCATCTTAGTTATCATGGTCCCAGTCCATCTTAGTTATCATGATCCCAGTCCATCTAAGTTATCATGGTCCCAGTCCATCTAAGTTATCATGGTCCCAGTCCATCTAAGTTATCATGGTCCCAGTCCATACTCTGTGTCAGGAGGTAGTTTTACTCCATATGTGTCTTCCCACCCTGCTTACCAAAGCACTTTGGGAACTTCTCTACGACTCATCAAACAAACTAACCACATTATAGAAGAATCTTTGCATGTCACTGAAGGCTGCTTGGTAAGACATAAGAAAATTCTTCTGTTGCACATAATGTCCCTAACCTGAATATGAACAGACTTGCCTATTTAATTTAATATGCATACATAACACTCTGAACTGGTACTGCCATACCAGTATGACACTGCATCCTGTTTAAGTGTCCTTGAAATTAATCTTTATTAATCATTATTATGTAATATGCGATTAAAAAATATTCTATGTGGTATATGTTGCTGTTTTGAGTACAGATGACTAAGAACACGTATACGGCTACGTCATCCGAGTTCATGTTAGGGAAAAACCTGAAGGAAACTGGCGGCTCTTTGCTGCCACCAGCTGGGAATTACAAACAGGCACACCACTAATTCCGTAATTTAACCATTATGACGTACTACAGAAAATTTAGCAAGGAGTCATTAAACGGCGAAACCCCCAAAGTACCCGATTTACCAAAACCCATTAAAATGTACCAAGGGAGCTGCATAATATTTGAATAATTTCTAAAATAAAATAAAAATAAAATAAAACCTACAGTAACAATGGCTTGTGAAATCTGCATTTGTGTGTGAAATCAAAAAAGCATCACTACGTGGCCAGACAGCCAGCAGCACTTTACAGGCAATTCAATACGCCTGTCTCGTCCCAGCAAGGCTCTATCATAGGGAATTCTTCAAATCGATTTTTCCTCCACTTTGAGCATAGCAAATTATACGCAAGGGCTGATAGATACCGAGGTCCAAGGGCGAGTCCCAAAAGTCGATCTCCATGACAACGGTAATCTCTGAGAAGAAACTATTGAGCCGTTAAAAATCACAAAGAAAGTACAATTAGATTGTCACATGCATGGCTGAACGGTCTGCATTTGAAAAGTCTTCCGTGTCTCCAGTAATCACCAGCCTGTTGCTCATTGATGGATTACGTTGTTAAACAGCAATGCTGCCACAAATAAAATAAATAAAATTGGTGCCTCCTCAAGTTAACTCGTATTATAAATAATTAGATTTGAACAGATCGTTTCCGAAGTTATCGTGTGGATAACGTAAGCAAATTATGTCTAGGATCGACTGTTGAACATCAGCTATTTTATTTCTCGCTTTATTTTAGAAATCGCTTTATAAACTCAGATTTTCGCATAATTTCAAAGCACGAGAAAACCAATGCGGATGCTCCGAACTTCCGTGACCGGAAGTGACGCACCGGGCACGTTCCTTATTGGCCAGGCTTCCTGCGACCGGGGAAATTTTGAAATTCTACTCAGGAGGGGCAGCGACTCTGCAGTTTCTGTCAAAACACAGCGCGGCACCAGCGGCTATATCTTATTGGTGAATTTAAACAGCCTTTTCCCCACCAGAAATCTCCGAACGATGGCAGACGATGAGGTGTGTATCGCTACACCCCAGCCGGAGATGGGAGTAATAGAGGGGGAGAGTGTCAACGGACATGGAGGAGAGGAGGCTCCGGGAGGCGAATGCGCTTTCAGGGAGGAGGCTGGTCCGGATTTCAATGTGGAGGCGGACGCGGAGGGGAGTCGGGAGACACAGCGTGACCCGCTTCGTGTAAAGCAAGGTGACATTATAAAGCTCCACTCTTAGCACAGTGCGGTTGTTTGTCAGTGAAGTGTGCAAACAAGGCAGTGTTTCTTTGGTGGGCAGCCGGAGCGGAGAGCGGAATACTCAGGCGAACGGCTGTGAATTTGTAATTTATCATTTCCTTTAGTCTTGTTCCAGTTTTGCAAAAGACAAACTCTTCTTAATTGCCTTGCCAGTTCTGCCCCGTTCTTGCTAATGTCTTGTTTTCCATGTCCACGGTTTAGTTAACCTAGTAGGTTAACCAAGTTAAGGGCAGTGCAGTATGATAGTCTAATGTGTATATTTCTTGTTATTATATAGTATAGTATTTAAACATCCATAAATCTTTGAATATTTAGTTTTTGAATTCTGTTTGTAAAACTGTCACCCCCATATTCACAAAAACCTTGCTCTTCAAATAGCTGTTGAAGTCCTAATTTTACTTTTTAAGCATACAAAAGGTAACATTGTTTTTTGTTACATACTGGTCGCCACAGATGCCGTCAGACAGATGTATGCCAAACAGAAGTGTTTTTATAGGACTCTGGTAGGTTGCTTTTAGCCAAGCCGGACTAACGGTAACTTTGAATCTGGCCTCAGAATAAAAAGATGTATTCATTAGCAGTAGGGAAATGATGACCTAATAGTTCCTGGACTTCATTTTGTTTTTTCTTCTAAACAAAGAGGACTGCCTCATGGCATTCATGTGATTTATGTGGTCTGTTTTTGTGCTTAGCTCTCTGAGAAACATACTCTACTTTACTCCACCCCTACTCCCAAAGGTCTTTTTCAGAATGAAGGAAACAATGAGGATGATGACAGTGGCACAGACTATGGCAGCGGAGACAAGCCCTTTCTGAAGAAGGCAGAGCATGTTGGAAATGCAGTTCTGCCAGGAATCTTCCAGACAAATCAACTGCTGTTCTATGAGAGGTTTAAAGCCTACCAGGATTACATGTTAGGTAATCACTGAACCTTCAGTAGCAATAAATGACACAATGGTGTTTCTTTGTGTTTATTTTTTGTTAAAAATGAGGATTTAAGCTTGTTCTCTTTATGAATGCGTAGCTGACTTGGTAATTGAGTACCTCAGTCTAGTAGTGGCTGAGAGTGGCGTTGTACTCCGTAGGGGACTGCAAGACATCAGAAGTAAAAGCCTTCATAGCTGATTACCTGGAGAAGGTGGTGGAGCCCTGTGATTGGCAGGCCTTGTGGTGCACCGAAGTGTTCGACGTGCAGGTGGAGGTCAGTGTTCAAGTGTGCTGGCGTTAAGCTCATCCCAGCTACTCAATCGACAGCAAATGTGCCCCAGACAGCAGCAGAAAGGTCATACCTAGTGGAAGTAGGCTTCACAAATAGCGTAAGTCATGAGGATAAAGCACAGACACAAGTATGGAAATCTGCTTTAAAAAATAAAAAACTGAATTTGATGTTTCTGTATCATTGGTGACATTTTTCTTCTTACCCGGAAATAAAAGTTTTGCATTATTCACACTATGAATATGTTAAACATTGGTTGGCATAATTAAAAAAAAAAAAAAAACAACTAAATTTGTAATGTGCATCACTGAAGTGCATCAGTAAAGTTTTCTTGAAATGCTGATTTTTGAATTTTAGAATGTTTGAAGTTTGTAGAAATCAGCGGTGGATCGCCCTTGCAGGTGGTGGACGTGGACTATGTGGGGCTGAAGGCCTCTGTGGAGCTGGTCCTGCCCATGCGATGTGAGGTGCGGGGCTGTGAAATCAGTGAGGAGGCCATGCGAGACCTTCTGGAGGCCACCCAGCACATGGTGCCCCTGCAGGAGCTCCACACGGTCTATGATGAGTCGGGAGACTTTGACCATACGGCACTGGCTGTGGAGCACCTGAGGTATTTTTGGGTGCCTGCCTTGCTTTGGGTTAATTTACAACAATAGTAAACATTACATTGTGTGGGATGGGCATGCAGGCCGTAGGTAATACTGCTGAACAGCTCAGGTAACAAGGTCCTGAATTTTTGCAGCGGTGGTTGATATAGTGGCTGCAGCTCGTTGCTGTCTCCTTTATTACGTTGGGTGTTTTTGGTGTCAGTAAAGCCAGCCCCCAGCAATCTGCATTTAGTCTTTGTCTTACCTTGAGCTTCTCAATCCAGCCACCCCACTAGTCAATGAATGTAGCCAGGGCATTGTCGCATATGTAAATCTACATAAACGGTAGAAACTGACTTTTAAAGGACCATCTACCCATCATCTGTCTCAAGGGGTGAGGGAATGTAATGCTTCTCAGTGTCTGAGAGTCGCAGATTGAGTTTCAGATGGCCTTTGTTTGTGATGACCTATACAAACGACCTGAAAATCAGAGTTACCAGCGCATTGTTGGATGTACACTGCTTGCAGTCTGCAATCTTTGAAATTATCATCCTCAGAACATGCAATAATGTGAATTTGGACCTGGTTAGGTCAAGCAACATGCTTTCTCTTTGCTGTGACTTTTAGGCAGACTGGTAATGGCCAGTTTGAATGCTGGGTGGGGACTGCTGCTTGAAATGGAGACCCCCTGAGGCGACATTGTGGAGTAACTGGTTTTTTGTGGCTCTTCTAGGTTTTTCTACAAGCACATCTGGAGAAAGTGGGACGAGGAAGACGAGGACGATGACTTTGACTACTTTGTTAGATGCGTAGAGCCTCGCCTAAGGCTGTAAGTCTGAGGGTGTGTTCAGCCAGTGGTGCAGTGTTTGTTTAGGTGAGGTCTGCAGTGACACTCGCGCTTAGGCTGTTCTTCGGTGTGGTTTGCTGCATGTCCACTAGATGGCAGTGTCTGCAAATTGATTTGTGACACAACACTATTCCCTTTCCTCATTCCACAGTAACATTTTTAGAGTTAGTTGCTTCACTGGATGGAACGACAAGGCCAATCTGCAACCGAGAATAGGGGTGGGCTTCAGGGTTTAATAAAAAGGCAGAAGGAACATGGCTCCTAAATTTCTGGCTTTACAACTTTACACCCAATAGGAATCATTGGTAACCTCTCCAAAGACTCCAGCTAAGCTGCTTGTCATGCCTTTTTCACCCAATTCCACCCCCCTTCTTTTAAAAAATATTTAATGTCATGCTTTTTGATGTGTAGTGTCATTTAAAATACTCACCCATAGTAAAAATTGATTGAATGTTCATAAAACTAGACCTGACCTTTACTGGCAAAAATGATAGGCCCCTTATTCCCACATATAGCAAACCACACCAGACAGATGCGGTCACATTGGCCAAAGCAAGCGTGTCGCGCCGGTGTGTAGTGGGTGTTGGCCTCATGGCCTTTAGCAAATCATTGTTATATTACCACTTGTTTTATACACTGATGTGTAGTGGCTCATTCCCTCGGTGGCCGGGTGTTTTTTAATAGTTAATTGACTTACCAACCAGTGAGAATAAACAAGGGCACATGTCTGTTCTTTAGCAAATGTGCAGTACTTGTTTGGAAACAAGGTACCCCGCTGTCCTTCAAACCTGCCGCTTTTGTTTACCGCCATCGTGCCTGTGCTTGCTGATGGGGGAGGTGCCGTTTGTTGTCTTTCCCTGTGACGGTGACCTTGTTCCACATCCCATTTACAGATCTCCTGACAAGCAGATGCTTGCGGGCCTGTGTGAAGCATTTCCTAGCCCCCCCCCTCTCCCCTCGTGCTCCTGTCTTTGCTATACGGCGTAGATGTCGGCTTGTCTCCCCCCACCCACGTCCTGCCTATATCCGCAGGTACTATGACATCCTGGAGGACCGGGTGCCGGCAGGTCTGGTAGCAGAGTACCATTCTCTGCTGGCCCGCTGCTCTGAGAAGTTTCAGGAGTTCTCAAGCCTGCGCAACGACATCTGCAGCGACTCTGAGTCGGAGCTGGACAACGTCTCCATGGTGGAGGGCCTGCGGATGTGCGAGCAGATGGAGGCCCTGAAGCGCAAGCTACGAATCATCGAGAACCCGCTGCTCAGGTGGGCGGGGGCCGCTCCCACACCGTAGCCCGCGGTAACTACGGCGATGCTCTGCCAGGATGTGGGCGTCAGCGGAGCGAGAAAACAAATGTTTGATCGGGAGATGTCATCCCAAACTCCTGTAGGCACGTTTTGGGCTACAAGGTGAACTCGGGGAAGCAGTCGTACAGCGCAAAGGGCCAGCGCGAGGGCGCCGTCCGGGTCGTGCACGTGGTATCTTCTTCCATGACAGTGGGCCAGCTGCAGACCTTGATGGTGGACAAGCTGCTCCCCGACTTCTCTGGAGAGCAATTCGAGCTGCAGGTGTGTCCCCAGCTGCCTCTTGGCACGTTTCTGATTTGGCAAACCCTTTTTTTCTTATATGTGCACTTCTGCAGTTCGTGAAAGTCAACCCAGCAGGGGGTGCCCCTCTAAATCCTCTAAATATTTCATTGCGGAGCTCCTCCAGGTGATCCTTTATCTGCCAATCACGAACCCAAAGTGAGACTACTGCACTACTGGAATTGTCAGCTGTTGGCTTTCTAATTTGTAACGGGTTTTTTATACTCTTCTCCTCCTCCCCAAGTTTCATGGTGACCCGCTGCTGGCCATCGATGCCTGCTACGAGGGCGACGTGGTCATCATCTGCACCGGCCACTACCTCGTCAGTGGCTCCATCAACATTCTTGACTCCATTCAGGTGGAAGGTAAATATCATCTATGGGTCTGCACTGCGTACTGGGAGCCCGGTCTTGTTCCAGCTCTGTTTAACCAGCTGTGTTACTTTTTAAGCTAGGAATGTTGTGAGTAAGACTTCATTAAATATGTACTACGGTGGCTTCCACTGCCAGCATTTTTCTGCTTAAATGACCGTTTTTGCACAGTGCTCCCACTGAAAAGCATCTCCAGTGAGCTAATGCTGACTGGGTACTGGGGTCCATCCAGGCTCCTCCCTCCATCTCCGGTATCCTGTTCTTTGGCCGCATCGTCAGCTGGGTATCAGATGCTGCTGTTTGCTGAGAGGCAGCAAAATTCTGCCAAACGGAAGATGTTCAGGGGGGCCCTTGTCTCCGAAACCTCCAAACCTGTTTTATCAGCTGCCTGAATGTGGGTTGTGTTTGGTTCTCGCTGCAGTTTTACAGGCGATAAATCATTCGACGGGGCATATCACGGCAATGCCCGAGTGCCATCTTAATTTTCAAAAGTAAGAAAGCCCCTAGGTTTTCGTAAAAACTGGACGTGGAGCACGGCGAGTGAAGCCGGAGGTAGTGAATCGTGCCCGATGGCATGGCAAGCGTAGCATGAAGGCGTGAGCAATGCGCCAGGCTGCCGGGGTTGGTGCTGAGATGTCAGGCTTTCTAAGTGAATGCAGGCTTTGTGTCCGTTGGACACAGCGCTGGCATTCGTGGAGGCTTTCAGTGGCTGTCTCTCCCAGCCTCTCCCTCGACACAGGCAACCCCAGGCACTCTAATAAAGATGAGGGTAGCAACCATGAACTCCGCCTGTGCTGCCGTATTATGCCAGCACCAGATCACCGTGGAGACATTCTTTGTGCCAAATCTGCATTGATGCGGAGACGGACTTGGTTCTGTCTTCATGTGTGAAATTTTCAAATGATCTCTTGCTTGCACATTCAAACCTGCCGATTTAATGTCTGCTATTCTGAGCTCTCTTTCTTTGAAATGACTTTTCGTGGGAAAAAGGTACACAGACTTTAGAAGGGTTTTGGGGGTTAGTGGGAGATGGTGATCTTTCGTGGGGGCAGTTAGATGCCCTTTTTTTGTGCCAGAAAGGAAGAGATGACTCTTGTTAGGCTAGATTTATTTTTTTTTCCTTCTGTTGCACTCAGAAATGTGAACTGGGCCGTCGACAATAAGACAGGAAATGAAGGGCTGCAGATTGTAAACTCACTGTGCAGTAAATTTACCTTTTAATATTATTTTGGCTGCTTTCCTCAAGCCTATTTTGCGCTCCCTCCTTAGGCTTTGGTCTGTCCGACGAGGTGGTGATCGAGAAGAGAGGCAAGGGCGACGCTTTCATAGAGGCGACGGCCGCCAACGCAAAGATTTCTAACCTGAAGTTCATCCAGCATGACGCCATCGAGGGCATCTTGTGTGAGTATGGAAACTTCCGGTGCCCTTGGTTCCGCATGACCGGTTTTCTGCACCTCCTCTTTGAGCCTCTAATGCGGTTCATAAATAAAAAAGCATCCACGGATGTTAGCCACTGGCAGTGTTAAGCAGCTATAAAACGCTCTATCGACCACTGACTGTATGCTGTGAGAGACCATCTGTTGGCCTGTATGATATGTGACCCTATTCTGGCCCCCACTCCCCCCTACCCAGCATACAAATATTCATACAAGCGAGTGATTAAGCGCTGTCATTTTCCAACCCTTCCAAGGCAAAGAATGTCAGACTCGTATTTTTATATTTTGCGTCTTGGTGTTTAGGGGCTCCGGTAAACCTTTTACAGTGAGAATGGAATGCGGTTGGACCTGGTTCAGCCTCTTAGGTCTGCAGGAAGTATCTCTATCTCTTTGGGTTCTGTGATCCAGTGATCACTTACAGGTCTAGGATGTTGGCACCCAATGTTCTGTGTGAACGTTCTGCCCCTTGCCCTCATAGGTGTCCGTCAGGGCCGGCTGGAGATGGAGAATTGTGTCCTTCAGTGCGAGACGACAGGTGTGATTGTGCGCACCTCAGCCCAGCTGACCATGAATATGTGTGACCTTTATGGGGCAAAGGTGAGCCCCCCCCCCACCCTGCTGACACACTTCTGTCATTGAAATGTCCCCCCCGGACATTTGTGCGCCTACCTGAGATCTAGTTACGTCAGGCTGAGATGGTTTTAGATGTAGGTAAATCTCTGCTTGATTTCTCCCGCTTTTTATTTCCATATCTTCAGCTCTCTTTTTTTTGTTTCTTTTTGACTCATGTTCATACTGATCTGCTGATCTCTTCACATAATAGCAGAGACCATCTGTTATGCGAGCTGTGCTGGATGTTTAACCCTATCCTTTCTACACCCTGATTATTGATTGTCATGATTGGAAGTTGAACACTACAGTCACACAGTAAAGTTCAGTTTGAAATCCCACCTCTTACTTACTGTTTGAGTTCAGATCCTGGAAGTTATAGGGGTGGTTTATGGCACAGCAGGTTAAGATGCCTTACCAGTGATCGGAAGGTTGTCTGTTCAAATCCTCAGACCTGCAGAGTGATTTCAGCGTTGGGTTTTTAAGTAATTCTCTTAACCCCCTGTTGCTCCAGGGAAAGCTTGACCCTGCTTTCTCAACAAACGTATGTCACTTATTGCTAAATAAATCTAGATGTAGTCATGTGGTCTTGACTTGTGATGCGCCGCTGTCTTGCAGGGGGCCGGCGTGGAGATCTATCCCGGCAGCATCTGCACTCTCGTGGGAAATGGCATCCATCACTGCAGAGAGGGAGTGCTGATCAAGGTGAGCCAGGGGGTGCTGATTCGGCACCACGGGGCTGGAGGCAGCCCGTCTGTCCCGGACTTTGATGGGTGACTGACCCTGTCTGCTCTGAGCCCCGGGGGGGGGCCCTGTGTTTGTAGCTTTAGACCTTGGTTAAATCGTGGGGGAATATATAGCTCTGGAATGTATTGTGTAAGTTAAGTGGTGAAAACTGCTTTTTTACTGGTGGTGTAGCCACTGTCTTTATTAAACGAAACTGAGATTTGTAGAGTTGTAATGCATATTGGAAACATTATGCCCCCCCCCCCAACCGCCAAAAACTTGAACCCCTGACTAGGATAACAGGAAGTTGTTTAACACATCATAGACAAAAATGGTATAGCTATGCAATACATGCCATTTTAAATGATATAATTTAAAGAAATTTTAAACTTGTGTAAAATGCGTACTGCTGTACCGCCATTTGTATTTGGCTGCCTAATTCCAATGGTGAGCAAGATGGGATGTCTTTCCTTCTGTTGTACCATATAGGCCTGTCACGATACCAAATTTTGCTGGACGATAAATTGAATTATTGCGATAAACAATAATATCGCAGTGACATCATATCCGCCAGTGCGAAATATTGGTCATTTGCTTCCGGTTTGAGTAACTATGAGCGCCAGAAAGGATAAACTTGTGTTTCAGAAGCTAAAAAAACAATAATAATAATTTCCTAAGTTCACTACGTCCTCAAAATACAATTCAGTTATAAGTTTCCACGCACACCTCTGGGAAAGTCGGCAAATCCAACATATTTATACTCACATTTCATATAATTTATTGCCACATTTTACTTTACCGCTTATAGTGCCTGGGCAAAATTGATAATTATTATCGGATGATCATCATAACCGATTTTTTCTTCATGTCTCAGTCTAACTGACATATTTCTAACTGTATATTTCTTACATGAATAATAGGTAATAAAACAGACAGCGTCACTAATTTTGATTGCAAAATATAGTACAACCGTTTGAAACGCTTTTCAAATTACTGAACTGTGTATAATTAAAATATGCTATATAATACAGTATAATACTGTACGTAAATATTAAATTTTATTTATACAGCGTATTTTCACAACATTGTCTGAAAGTGTTCGCTGCAGCATCTCCGTGGCTCGTTTTATGGCGGTTCATCATAAGCTTTGAGTCTATGTAACACGAATCTGAATATTGAACAGCTTTAATTAGAACTCTGACAAGTTACCAGTGCTGCCATACTTTTTACACTATTTGTTGTGCTTCTTCATGGATCTGAACCAGCAACCTCTCCTGTTCCCGTGTTTCTGTTTGACACTAAGAATAGCAAACACAGATTAACGCAATGTGTACTTAAGCACATATAGAACATACTAAGTTAAACATTCTCCGCTAGAATGACTGGGGATATTCATAGTTACTTCATTGCCACATGCATACACTATCACTGTCCGGGAGTAACGTCTATTAACGTAAGCTATAGCTAATGCCAGCCACAAAGTTGAACGAATATAACTCCCCTTCGTATCTGTGGATCTAAGACAAGGCAAACATCTTAAAGCCCTTCTCTAATTTAGTCGTTGGTACTTTGGAGAAGGATTTGCAAAAGCGATGTACGTCGTTGATCATAAGTTTGGGCAAGTCCTGTAAAAGGCATGTATAAACCAATGCCATTTTTCACAGACCGGAAATGAGCGAGCCGCATTTCCATGAACGCAGAAGCTGACGTGCAAAGAGCCCACTGACACGAGGGTTCACGTCTCATTACTAGTGATGTGTCGTTCGCGAATGAGACGGCTCTTTTTAGTGAACTATGGGAGCCGGCTCCTGTTCAAGAGCCGTTTTATTAATGTTTATAGAATTGTCCGGGTTTTTGAGCTGCCTAAACATTAAGGATGACAGTGGCCGGAACACGTGGTCTTCCGAAAAAGCCCGCTCACAAGACGGCGTCTTTTTTTTAACACGCTAATCATCATCAGGTTAAACGAAGAGAGGGGCAGGTTTTTTTTAAAAAGAGCCATTTAGGAGCCGAAAGAGCTGGCTCTTCTTGGTGAGCTGAGCCAAATGAGCCGGTTTGCTAAAAAGAGCCGATATTCCCATTTGGTAGAGAGAGACACGAGGAAAACAAACAAGCATGCAAATGAAAATTATCGCGGGCGGAAAAATTATTGACCTCATTTTAATTATCGTGCAATTAATTGATTTATCGTTTATCGTGACAGGCCTAGTATCATATGTGGGTCATTCCTTTCAGCAAAGGTGGTGCACTCAAGGCATCGACTGCGAGCTCATATCATAGGGTCACATGTGTAATGGTTTTCTAGTTGGTGCGTAACGCAGTCAGAGGAGTGTGGAATTGCAATCGCGAGGCCCTTTGGCCATGTGACAACAGCTGGCCACTCGGGGGCCCCGATGGTAATCGGATGCTTGTGGTATTGCGTTTTTGTCTCTAAGCTGGCTTCAGTGCTGCAGGACCGTGTTGTGCGGTAACATCTTGTGAGCCCAAATAGAATTTTGTGGACAGGGATGTAATAAAAGGGGGGGGGGGGCGGGTTTCGGGGAAGTGTAAAAACAAAGGGTGGAGGTGTTATTTTAATTACCTTTACAAGAGTCTTATGGCCTTATCTCCCACCCAGAGGCTTAGCATGGTGCTGTTTGCTTGAAGTGTGAAAGCAGACGGATAAAGATCCATCCATCTTCCTTGTCCCAGCACTGCCTGACTTATTCAGCAGACTTTAAGTGGTGGAACAATAGTCTGCTATTTAACAAAAAAAAAATTATAATTTACTTTATCTCCCCCCCC